TCGAGCCAGAGTCCTCTCGAGCAGCCCCGACCACTACCCGTGCTCGAGTGGTAAGCTAGGATCGCCGCGGAAGCTAGGAGGTGCTTTGGGTAAGGCATCCCAGATAACTCCCGAGTCGAGCTGCTCAAAATCTTCCTCGGCGATATGCTCGCCGACCTTCTGCAGAGCAAACTAAAAACAATCTACCCCAAAGTCTTGAACCTACGCTTGGAGAAAAAGCTGCCCAGTTGTGGTAGCCCACATCATTTGCCGAGCTCGAAGAGAAGCAACATCAGCATAGCATTTGAGTTGGTGAGCATGGGCAGCCCTTTCCTTGGCCAGAGTGGCCTCCAGCTTAGCTCGAGCAACCTCTGCTTGCGCTCGAGCAGCCCGCTCTTGCTCGAGAGCCATCTCCTTCTCCTTCAGGGCAACCTCTCTCTCCACCACCGCCACCTCCTTCACTGCAAGGGCGGTTTCCTTCTCCACGAGAGCTTTGTCCTTTTTAGCGAGTTCTTCATCAAGGGACTTAATCTTGACTTCGAACTCGGCTTTCTGCTATGTCTGCGTCTTGCAGAGCTTAGCATTATGCTACAAGAGGGTGGAATTCTTGTCTTTCATCGAACGACAGGCGCTCTCGAGCAGCTTGATAGACTTCCTAGAGCTGTCTCGAGCTTTCTTGGCCAAAGGTAAAAATTGGACCAAGCCCTGTAATAACCGAGAATGCAACAATTTAATATATAAGTGGCGAGGAAAAATGATAGGAAAAGGTTAGAGCAAACACAGGACGAGCAATATCTGGGCAAGCCACTGTACGAGCTGATCCCTAACCTCCATCAAGTGGCGGTGGTGCCTTTAAGGTCGTCCTCGAGGAACGCGCCCTCGAGTCGGTCGACCATCTCATTCAATAGGGCCGACAGCAGCGAGGAGGACTTAGGAGCCAGAGGATCAGGAGGGAAATGGCTGGTGCGCACACGCTTCCAAACCGTTTCCAGTCGGTCGATGCGAGGACGTTTTCCGAGGGCCACATCATGCCCTGGGTTTTCCTGGCCGCTAGACTCGACCATGGCCTTAGTCAAATCAGCGGAATCGGGGGTTTTGGATGGTTGGTCGAGAAGAGGTTTTTCGTGTGTTTTGGTTTTGGAAGAGGTATGATGTTCGGAAGAAGACTGGTCTTTGGTTTTAGTATGGGAGGAAGTGGTTTGGCTATTGGTTTTTTGGGAGGAAGATTGGCTGTTACTGGGCTTGGGGGGGTCGAGCCCCTAGCTCCAGTCTTCTCGGAGCCGGTCGAAGATTTTGTCCTAGTTTTTTCAGGAACGTTGGGAGTTTTGGTGTTGGCTTTCTCGGTAGATGGTCGAACAATGGTTTTGGATGGAAGGGGGGAGTTTGTCGTTCTTGCTGGCGTTGTTGGTGTTGTTGCTTCTGTGATTGTTGTTGTTGTTGTTGCTGTTGTTTCTGTTGTTGTTGTTGTTGTTGTTGTTGTTGTTATTGTTGTTGTTGCTGGGATTGTAGTGGAGGTTGTTGCTGCGGCTCTGGGTGAAGAGGAGTGGTCGAACTCTCGACCTGGTGGGCCTGGTCGCCGGTCGATCCAGAGGTGGACCCGGGGCCAAACTTCTTCTTCAGAAGAGTCTTTCTCAGAGGAATATTAAAGCTAGGGACCTCTGCAAGAAGAAAACAAGAAGATTAAATTCGACATCAACAAGACTTATTTAAACAAAAACAAGGGAACACATAAACACTCGAACTGCCAATGGAGTATGAGAAACGCTTGAGCAATTGATCGAAGATTACCTGTATTATTCTCAATCCGAATAAGATGGAGGATCTTTTCGATAGGTGGAGGGCAGACCTTGTGAGTGAGAAGGCCGCAGAAATGGAGAAGGTTCTCATCTTTGAGCAGTTTCTCCTACGCAACGGGTTTGAAATTCCAAGTGTGGATCCGCTGGTCGAAGAGAGGGTTTGGAGAAGGAGCTGAAGATTCTTGTGAAACTTCCTTGACCCAAGGGGTGGAGGGCCAAGGAAAGGGGACATCAGGCTCGACAAAAATGAACCTATCGATCCATTTAGGGATGTTGGTGGGGATATCATTGATAAAGTGGGCGTCGTTTCGGCTTTTTAGGTAAAGACCTCAACCTTGTTTGGAAGGGCTGTAACAATACTGGAAGAAGGCGATGTCGAATCGACCTAGGCGGATGTGGCAAAGGATAATGAAGGTGGTCTTAAAACGGATGGCATTTGGCAGGAGTTGGTGAGAGGAAGCCCGAACCATTGGCAAATTTGGAGCAGCTCGGGGCACAGAGGAAAGTAGAGGCCAAGTTTGAATTGGATTTCGAAGAAGGTATCGCAGTCCCGCGGGGGATGATCGTATTTGTCGGAGGGAGAAGAACTGTAGAATGCCCAACCGCTGGGGTGGCCGATCTTCTCAGGTTTGTACCAACTTTTGGAGAGAGAGGAAGAAGAAGGGCACTTCGTGGAGGTTTTTCAGGGTTTTTTTGTCGAAGGTTTTTTGGGAGGAGAGTTTGGAGCACCAGGTTAGGGAGGAGAATGAGGAATGGTCGAAGATTCTGGGAGAACAGCCTGAGAGGAAGAAGGAGGAATGGTCGAAGATGTAGGAAAATTAGGTTCATGAGAAGTACGGACATTGACCTCGTCCTCCTCTGGCTCATCTAACGAGCCAAAGGCGGGTCGGCGATGGCGGAGGGGAATGTTGTCCATAGTATCCCCGGAATTGGGAGAGGAAACACAGGCTGTAAAGACGATGGCAGGAACGGTCTTGCCGGGACGAAGAATTGAGAGAGGAACAGTTTCGAGGGCAGAGGGTAGTATTTGAACCGAATTGGAGGAAGTGGTTGAAGAAGGAGATGGAGGTGCAGAATCTGGAAAAAAGCAAAACAAAAACGAAATCAAAAAAGGGAAAAGCTTTCGAAAAAGGTGAGACTTTCAAAACTAGGGTTACATGGGGAGGCGATTTTGAAGAAATTAAAGAGGAAGAGCAGGAATTTCGAAAGATTTTTGAAGAGAGGAGCAAAATTCACAACGATTAACAGATAAATCACAATATTCAGAGCACAAATTCAGGATAAAACGCGCAAATTTAGAAAGTTCAACAAGTAAATTCGGGATACCCAATGCGAACAAATTCAAAGAACAGGCAAATTCGAAACACATGAAATGTAAATTCAAGCGAGGAACAACTTACTTATAGTCGCAGATGAGGAAATCAAGAGAGCCGGAAGAGTGCAAGAGAAATCGCCGAGAAGGAGAGCAAGGTTTGCAGGAAAAGCCCAGAGCACAGAGAGTTTGAAAATTGCAAAGGTGGAAAAAACTCAGAAAATCCGCTAAGTGTTGAATTTATACCTAGAAGATTTGAAGAGTTGAGAAATAAGGGCCGTTGGATTAAAGCAAAATCTCGCGATGGGGAGTATTCAATTAACACGGGATTCAAAAGGGGCACATTATGCGAAGAGGTGCAATAATTCAAGTGGCTGACAGAAGCGACAGATGTGACGCGTGGCAAAAAAGCAGGGCAGCAGAAAGGAAGTGTGACAGACGACTTTATTCCTGACAATTAATGAAGAATTAATTGAAAAAAATGAGCGGGAAACTCATCAGATGATCGATATCGAATATAATGAAACCCAGGAGAGCGACGAGCACAAGTTCACTCTTAGATCGGGTCATTCAGACTCGACCAGAGTGGGGGGACTAGATGATATAGGATATTATACCCGCAAGGCTAAACCGGTCTGCCGAACCGGTTGGAAGGACTGTATTGCAAAGACGCCGAGTCAAGTGGCGGCAAGATCGACCAGTCAATCAGTCGACCAAATCAAGTAGTCGACCAATCCATCACTCGACCAGGTAAATGATAGAGCAGGTAAATATCGAGCTGATTAGTCGACCTCAACAGGTCGACCACTTCGCGGACTTGATACTTTATGGATCGGCCTAGTCACAGGCGCGTGTAAGAGCCTCTAACGGAATTTCAGAGGATTATTCACTTCATGTGCAAAAGGACACGTGTTGAGAACACATTGGTTGATAGCGACAACCACCTCTGACAGCTCCCAACGTCCTGCACCACTTCTGACATGCGCGCGGCGTGTCAGAGTACGGACGGGCAGCTAGGCAGCCAGCTCTTCAAATCTGGACAGCCTTAAGTCAGGTATCTCACTCCTATATAAAGGGGGTGAGCCTTTCATCCTTCACACGATTTTTCCATTATTCAACTCCAGTATACTCATACACATACTGACTTAAGCATCGGAGGCTCTTCATCGGACACAACCCCTGGTGTGAGTTATTTGCAGGTTTCCAGCGTTCTACCAACGAGGACAAGAATCGATCTACCTCGAACCGGACCAGGACGCTCACACTTGCATTAATCATCATCTAAAATGTTTTCATGTTTTGGCTGCTCTAAGAACGGAATGTATAGTGATCAGTCTTGTTAGGAAAGTCTTATGTGATGTTCTTGCCAGCCAAAATGATTCGGGTAGAATTTAAAACATCAAATAAATCTGGAGCTATCACAATTACTATAGAGAGATCGATCTTCTTCTGTTTTTTTGCGAAACGAGTTGAACAGTTTATTTAGCTCATTAAGTTCACAATTTGAGCTGCCAATTACGTGAAGACTAAGCATAAACTTTGGTATATTTAGAGTGATGTGCTAACAATTCCTTGTTTGTTTGTTTGTGTTTTTGGTAAATCAAATAAAAGCTAATTAATAAAATAATTGTATTGCTATTGTTTTTGTTTTTTCTCTCAAAGTTGGAACTTTTCCAAAACATATTATGTTCCTCGTAGTTGCAACTCGTGACCATCACATTGCTCGGGGAAACGAGTGTGTATCTGTAGAAAATTATACCCAATAAAACAAGATTTTGTGACTAATTGAATAGTATTTGTTATGTACATGATGCAGCTCAAACAAACAAGAAAAGCCCACCCAGAACAAAGAAAAGCAACCATAAAAGTCAGATTTATCTAAACAGTATGCTGTATAACTTTCCTGGTTGCGACTATAATATGATCTCAAAAGTATTGCAACCTTGGCATTTAATGTACAGTGCAGTGAGTCCAAATTTAGTCTCGACACAGAACTCAGGTCTCAACTTGCATCCTCTATCGAAATGCTCTGAATGGGCTTCACCCAGCCTCACCCGTAACTGATTCAAATCAACCTGAGATCCGGAGAACACACTATTAACTAGTATAATGACACGTTGTGTGTGTGTGTGTGTGTGCGTGTGTGTGTGTGTGTCAGAGAGAGAGAGTAAAAGACCTCATGGTCTCTATTCAGTTTGAGCTTGCACTGACTGCAGTAAATATGGTGACCATTCTCCAGTAACTTTCCCTGTTTGCAGATGGGACACCAAACCTCCTCCTTAATCTATAACAGAAGAAACTGCATCAAAATGTTGGACTTTGGTAGAAACGTAATTAACAGACATTAATATGGAGTTTTGTATCAGACCCCTTAAATTCATACTAAAAATAGGCTCCAAATCCACCAACAAAAACATGACCAATGTGTTACAACATAATACAAAGCCTAACATGTGAAATCGCACCAGCCAGGAGGGGAAAGAGAGGGAAAAGCAGCAGCTGCTGCTGCTGCTGCTGCTAATAATAATAACAAATTAACAATAATCCCCAATGCACAAAACATTAAAAAAAAAAAAAAAAAAGCACAACTCTCTCGTCCTGCAATAATCACAAATTCTCATGCAATAGGAACATCACATTCTTTCTGCTGTGCTAGCCTTTTCGTCTGAGGATGAGTATAGCCACCTCATAGAACCTCAAACAAACTCATTCGATACCATATCACTGCTTTGGTTAACTTCTAGATAGGTACAGAACAAAGACTCCATAATAACAAAATATTTTGCAAACTATCCTCTCAATTAGATTAATGGATGATTATACAGTTGCCAATCATAATTCAAAAGAAAAGTGTAGTTGAATTGCCACTTGATCCAACGAGAGTGAGATTCTATCACTAACAGGTAATCGTCTATTTTGCATGCACAAAACTAATAATCATATAACACGTGATTTATCATAGTTAGGTATTCGTGTCTGAAGGTTAAAGGGTGTCACTTTTCATCCTATGCAGGTTAGCTGGGAGGAAATAAAAGGGTGGAAAGATTGGATGAATCAAAAGTTTGTCAAATAATCTTCCAAAATCTGCTATTCAATGACTGCTATGCTATGGACATATTGAAATTTCTAACAAATCAGAGTATATGGTAATAACAGGATACAAAAAGAGGCTTCGTTTTTGTTTAAGGAAAGGTAACGGGCCAATTTTATACTTTCTACGGCATGCATGTTACATAATTCAGAGATGCATCCAGCACCTAGCAGCTCGACTTCCAAACTGAGCAAATTATGAAATGGCAAAGGAGATTAAGGTTGGTTGGCATCATCATACCTGATCACTATTGAGTAGCATGTGATTATACACTAACTGAGACAAGTACTCATCTTCCTCATCCTCCCACGTTATGATAAAATCTGGCTCTGCAAGGCATTAAAAAAGAATCTAACATTGAAAGTAGCCTTGCAAATGTATCTGTAAAGAATGGCGAACAAATCCCCATATAGATTTGGCCAGCCCATCAAAGATACTTATAAGTTGAGCTACAATGAACACATCAATCTAATACAGGAGACTGTCACATTGACATACTACAGATGGATTTGTTGGGTATTTAAATTTTTAAATGTCACATCCTTACAAATTCAGAACATCAAATGAATAAGTAGTCTTTACAGGAAGGTTGTGTTCTTTCTATAATATAATTTGATGTGCTCACAAATTTCCAGGTTTATTTAATATTTCTGTAATAAAGATTAGTAGAATCAACTTGAAGTCAATGTATCCAATTTTCTCATATATGAAAATCCTATGTGAAACATTCCAAACATATATTGGAAAAGACTGTTTTCGTTCAGAGTTTGTAAATACTCACATAGACCATACATTTTTCTTTTTGATTCTCTAAACCCTTTTCAGTAAAAAACAGATGTCTTAGCACGACGAAACATAACGGAAACTGCCATGCTAATAATTTATCATAGAAATCATTGCTATTCAAGAGTTTTAACCTTTTCTGCTCTCCTTTGTCTTTAGATCCTCATAAAATATTCTTTGCATTTCCAACAAAATTTCCTCGCAGTCACCTTGACAAGCTGTGTGAAGACCATCATACTCCCAAATCATATCATCGGTGGATATATTTAACGAGGGGGATAAACTTCCATCAGGAGATGCTTCCTTAATTTTTTGTAATTCATCGGAAACTATATCCTGAAGGGTTGATTTGATGAAATCCTGCAACAAAAATCACTTCAAGAGCTGAATTGAAAAATATGCATGACCATTTCCCTTCCTTGTCATATTAATCTCATTCTCAACAAATGCTCAATATACTTCATCACCTCTAGAAAGAGCAACACTTTGGGAGTGTAAAGATCAATATGTTTAGAACTTTCTTCGTCAATACTTACTGTTCAATAACAAAAATCACTTATCACTCAATTTCATTAATCGACTGTAACAGAATTTAATCAGAGCTTTACAAATTATTATTTGCACTTTTGAACCCTGGTAGAGGGTGCACCACAAACAAAGTTATCAAGAAGGGCAACTGTTGGTATCTTCTAAATATCTCAAGTTTTACGTAGAAATAAAAGCCATGACTTGTATCTTCACTATGGACTTCTTTTTTTTCTATCAGCCTTGACATGGTTCTACTTCTACAAGGATCTAACAAAAGCTTTCATAACCCACATTGAAGCAGGAGTGAGATCCACGTGTCGATTAAATGGATGCACGGGTCAATGGATTGAATCCTTAAGCGACCTACAGAGTAAGGACTAAATAAAGATCAGAGATCGGCAGGTAGAGGAGGTGGTTAAATGTCTTTCAATTTTTCTTGTTTGCATTTGCTAGATTTCTCAATGAATATCGTATCCCTAACTAAACGTGCAACTCTTTCTGCACCTTGTACTTGACTTCTAAAAACTTCTAGGTATCAATTATCTTAGTCCTCTCATAACCAAGCATTAACCTATTCTCGTTCTCAATCGCAACCCTTAAGCCATTCATGATCGGATCTGATTCGTCAAGGGAAACAGAAACTACACTGTTGGTTTTCTCTTCACAATTGTGTACGAAATACTCATTCAAAGTATCCCAACTCCATCTTCATCACAATACAAAACATATCTTATGGTTTCAGGATCAATTATCAACTGATGTAAATATGAAAAAAATACTAATTAAAAAAAATCATACTACAATGGAATTTCACATTCACATCTGAGACTATAACGATTTTCCTGGCCAACTCAATCGACGGTACCACGAACATAGAAACAAAAAAGGCCATCTTCTACATGAAGGACTAAACATTCACTTCTCTAATAAGCAAACAAAACATAGGTCAATCAACCGTCCCACGGCCACCATACCAGAATTTCCAGCAAACCATACATTGGCAAGCCAACAAATCAAACTACTACAATCCAGTAAAAAATAAGAACATGAATAAATATAAAAAACCCCAATTAAATTAAGGAAAGGGAACTAACCTCTTGATTAGAAAACTTAGCTTGGGACAATCTCAATTTCCAAAGCAAGCGATTTCGGTCTTCGCGAACCCTTTTGAAGCAATTCTCTCGTAGCTACATTTCATCAACACAGCCATAATTGCGTATGTAAGATATTACTAAGAACAACAGACGAACAAGCAGATGTATGTGAAGAATCATATGCGGTTTACCTTGTCCTTCCATTTGAGCGGTGCAAGAGATTTAACACAAGGCCGCCTGCAACTCTGCAGTCCTTTCTCCTCGGTTCCCACCATCTCCCTCGTTGGCAATATTATTTCTTCTTTTTTTGTTTCTCTATAATTATTTCTGTCTGCTTGCCAGTCTTTTCGGGTGGGTTATTTTTTTAAAAAAAATTTAAAAAAATGTGGCAAAAAATAAAAAAAAAAAAATAATTGTGGAAAAAAATCAAACGGACGGATTCTGAAAATACGTGTTTCTAATTAAATTTTTTAACCGAACCACGGATTTTCAGAATCCGTTTTTGTTTTACATTTTTTTTTTTTAAATGAAAGTCGAAACTGTCGGTGGATTTTAATATTAATACTGGAAAACGCGGATTTTCAAAATCCGTGTTACTTTAAAAAAAAAAAAAACGAACAACACGGATTATGAGAATCCGTGTTTTGGTCAATATAAACAGCTGCATTCTGCTCCCCCGACCACAAATCATTCATCCATCCCAAATTTATTTTTTTTTTCTGTTCGATTTTTGAAGACAATTTAAAAAAAAACATTTCAACCAATCGTCGGGAAGAGGTTAGTTGTTATTTTAATGTAATGTAGTATTATGTTTTTGTTGTTTATTAATGTTTAATTGAAGTATATTTGGTTAATTGAGTATTGTTTAGGAAATCTTGAATATTGGTTTAATCGTTGTGTTAAATGATTATAATTAACTATTGTATGATGGGTTTTTATTGTATGTTGAATATCTATCCGAATTGTTTATAAATTTGATGTTATTGTTGGATTATGGTGATTAATTAGGTATTGGTAGTGATTAGGATTTTTGTTGTATGTTGAATATT